GGGGGGGGGGGGGGGCGGGTAAGGGGGGGGGGGGGGGGGGCTGGCAGGTTGGATTGGGGGGGGGGGGTCTTGTGTTTACCGGATGTGCCACAACAGGTTTGGGGTGCTGGTGTCTGGGTAAGAATTTTGGTACCGAAATTTCGCACGCGTGAAGGAACAAGCGACAGACTGTATAGCACAAGAGGGGTGAATCACTCGATGTCACGCATATTCAGTGTCCTTCTGACACACGCGGAGAACGTTGCCCCCCAGCGGGGGGACTGTAGCTTGTGTTGGAGCTGTAGGAGTCTCGCCACGTTCCTGTGCTACAAGCACAACAACAACATTTGTCGAACCCGGTTGTAGTGTTGAAGGAGCTGACTAGAGGAGACGGCCATGTCTGCGTGGTTTTGATTGGTCCCGCACAAGGGTCGCCGCGGGCCGCATAGGTATATACGAGGGCGGATAACATTCCTTCACCAACAGAGGGGGGTGGGGTTCCCGCAAGACTCGCAGCTATGCGCAGTCGGATTTACGATTTCCAAAACAACTCGCCCTCCTCTCATCTGTCACGTAGACATTCGAATTGTGTCGGGTCTTGTTCCGCTGGCAGGCGGCTCTATCGCCATTAGAATGTCGCGACCGTTGTCTTGCTCGTTTTTCCATCGGCCAGCAAGCGGTGCCGACACTCCCGCGGCAGGCAGTTTTCCCTTCCGCTGCGAAACCCAACCCTGTCATTAAGAACCCTCTTTTTTGTATTTTGGAGCACCACACAACCCCCCCCCCCCCCCTGCTGTCTGCATGTGTCCGCGCTCCGCTTGTTTGATTGTTTTTGTTCAAAACTCGCAACAAACGCCAGGAAGCTGCTGGACGAGGCTGCGAGAGTGCTGGCCACTGGAGGAAAGTACATGATCTTCAGCGCCTTTAGCAACGACGAGTTGGGGCAAAAGGACATGACGGACATGCTCGTTCATCCAGGGTTTGGAGGACAAGTGCAGGCGAGTTCCATTCCATAAGTCTTGCTTTTCGCCGGCGGTGGTGGCGCTAGTTCAAGGAGAGTTGACTCAGGAACGTACTGCGGTGTGTGATGAACAGCAGCCTTGCAGAGGGTACACTGCATAGGGAACCACGTATTATCATCGTGAGTGCCGGACGGTGTCACCTCCTATTGCACTCTTTTTTTGTAAAGTTGTCGGTGGTGAGGCGTGATGTAGTACTTGGGCTGTCACTGAGGACTCCATCAGACTTTTTCTGTGGTAGGCATGAATATAGTTAGCTTGAGACCCACTGGTGCTGTTGTCGTTGATGCGTCGTATCGTACTATCAGCGCGAGTCGGTTGAGATGTGCCGCACATACATACAGGTTGAGGTGATTGCTCGTGTGCAAGCGTTCTTGGCTCCTCTCCCCTGGCCCATTCCCCTCCCGCATCAACCCCCGATAACAATGGAGCTTCCGTCGCCCCTCGTAGCAGACCCCAGACGTACGTGATTTTTCCAGAAACCGAAGAGTTGGCCGCGCTACCTCTGCTGCCGCTGCTGTTTGCTGGTCCTACAGATGAGAGCAATCGACACGCCACCGCTAGAGTACCCCGACCAGACGTCGAGCTACCTCTACACCTTGACCAAGGCATAGGGCATACCGGCAGCTGAGGCGATGCCGGAAGCAACAGGGCCGAAGGCATCATCTCCTCCATGCTGCCGCTGCCCTTTAGTTCTTGTGCCTGCTCTCCGAGTCTGGCTGTGCTCCCACACACGACGAACGGTCTAACTAGCGAACGGTTGCTGGCGGTGTCGAATAGTAATGGTGGTAGGTAACTCATCTCGCAGTGATAGTTTAGGTACGCGCGACACGGTGTGTCCGTTGAGTATCCCGTGTGTATTGAGCACCGCATGTACTCG